CTGCCTGGGCAGTGAGACCTCATCTCTACAATAAGTCAAAAAATCAGCCGGGCGTGGTAGCGCATGCCTGTAGTTCCAGCTACTCGGAAGGCTGAGGCGGAAGGATCGCCGGAGCCCAGCAGGCGAGGCTGCAGTGGCCAGGAGCGGCCACTGCACTCCAGTCTGGGCGACAGAGTGAGACTCCAACTCAAAAAAAAGAAACATTGGTGCAAAGTTTTTAGAAGGTATTTGGTTTTAATAGCAATTCATACAATATATCCTTATAACAGTTAAGAGCATTTAGGAAAAAAAGAAGTTACCACCATTAAATTATTTTTTATAAAAGGAACTTGGTATGTGTGGGTATAACTCAACCTCAGAAACTGAAGCCTAAACTTTATTTCAGTCCTCTTTTACTCTATACCCCACCACATACATCTCATGTGCCCTCTTAAATTATACAAAGCTCTAAAATGGAGAGAACATAAAAAAACCACAAATTATAAAGAAAACAACTAAACAAACTAAAACTCTAATCGTGCTTAAGTAGCTGTACTCAATTTTGTTATAATCTCCTCACTGCCCAAAGCTACCATTTCTTACTCATATTCCAACCCCAGTTCTCATTTTCTTAACTCACAAATGATTCAAAGCTTTTAGAAAATGCATAACTTAGCCGGGCTCGGTGGCTCAGCCTGTAATCCCACGCCTTTGGGAGGCTGATGTGAGTGGATTGCCTGAGACCACGGGTTCGAGACCTGCCTGGGCAGCGAGACCTCATCTCTACAGTAAATAAAAAAATCAGCTGGGCGTGGTAGCGCATGCCTGTAATTCTGGCTACTTGGAAGGCTGAGGTGGAAGGATCACCAGAGCCCAGCAGGTCGAGGCTGCGGTGGCCGGGAGCAGCCACTGCACTCCAGTCTGGGCGACAGAGTGAGACTCCAACTCAAAAAAAAAAAAGAAAATGCATAACTTTTTACCATACAATTAAAGAGTGAATTAAACTACCTCTAATTTGATGATTTTACTAAAATGTTTTCAGACAAAAACAAATGCAGATTTTTGATAAGTGTCAAAGTTACGTTTCTTCTACTCCAGAATTTCATAATCAGAATCATAATCAAGAGAAATAATTTGTAATCCTTAACCCATTACCTTGTAGGAGTTATTTATTTAAAAAGCAATTAAAAGGCTACTATGTGCCAGATAACATGTGGACTTGAGATCATGAAAAATTAAACAAAATGTAATCCTTGGCCTAAGTGTAAAGATATATAGGAAACAGAAAAAATAGACAACCTTACAACAAAATACATTAAGCATAGTAATATCAATACATGCTGATATCACTATTTGAAAGCACAGGTAAGAGGCACCCAACCCAGGCTGGAAAGAGAGAAGGTTTAGTGATGGAAATGATCCCTGGGTTGTCTTGAATAATGAGTAGGAAGCCAGGAGGCCTTGCCAGCAAAAGAACAAGGTGGTGTGAGACAAGAATTTTAGGAAAAATGTGGTAGAAGGAGATAAGACAACTTTACTTGGAGAGCTTTCGGTGTCACATTAAAGAACTCATATTTTATTCTGTCAGCAGCAGGAGCCACTAGAGGTTTTAACTAGGGAAGCCATATATATGTGTATATATTTATCTTCTCAAGCTATGTTGCAAGCTCCTAAAAAGCCATATGTCATCTTCATTGTAGAAGATAACAATATAGAAGGGGGATTAAAGGGGAACAGGCTAGGTGCAGTGTCTCATGCCTGTAATCCCAACACTTTGGGTGGCTGAGGATCGCTTGTGGTCAGGAGTTTGAGACAAGCCTGGATGACACAGTAAAATCTCCCATCCCAACAAGAAATGAAAAAATAAAAATTAGTAGGGCATGGTGGCACATGCCTGTAGCCCTATGTAGTTGTGAGGTTGAGGTGGGAGGATCCCTTGAAGTCCAGAATCCATGATAGTGCCATTGCACTTGAGCCTGGGTAACAGAGCAAGACCCTGTCTCAAAAAAAAAAAAAAAAAAAAATCCATACTACCCAATGCATCCTACAGATTCAAGACAGTTCCTGACAAAATCTTAATGTTGTTTTGTAGAAATGGAAAAAAAATTCCTAAAATTCATATGGAATCAAGGAACCCCTGAATAGCCAAGACAATCTTGAAAAAACAAAAACGAAGTTTCAAGACATATTATAAAGCAATATTAATCAAGATACTGTGGTATGGCATAAAGATAAACTTATAGACACGAAAGGAACAGAATACAAAGTACAGAAATAAACCCTTTCATATATGGCCAAATGACTTTAGACACAGGTGCCAAGACACTCTGAGATAAAAAACAGTCTCATCAATAAATGTGAGAGATAAACTGTATATCCACATTTTAAAAAAATGAAGTTGGATGCTTACAACACATACAAAAATTAACTCAAATGGATTAAAGACCTAAACATACGACCAAAGTATAAAACTCCTAGAAGAAATTATAGGTAGAAAGTTTCAGGACATTGAAGTTGGCAATGATTTTTTGGGGATATGATACCAAAAGCACACGCCAAAAAAAAAAAAAAAAAAAAGACAAATAGGGCAGCATCAATTTTAAAAACATCTGCAAATTGAAGGAAACAATCAACAGAGTGCAAAGGCAATCTATGAAATGGAAGAAAATATCTACAAATCATTCTTCTCTGAAAGGTTTGATATTCAGAATATAGAAGGAAGTACTAGAATTTAATAACCAAAAAATTGATTAAAAATGGATAAAGGACTTGAATAGGCAAGTCTTCAAAGCTATACAAATGGCTAACAAACATATGAAAAGATGTTCAACATTATGAATCGCAGAAAAATGGAAATCACATGAGATATCATCTCATACCCATTAGAATGGCTATTATCAAAAGAACAAAAAATTAACAAGCACCGGTGAAGATGGGGAGTAACTGGAATTCTTGTGCAGTTGGTGGGAATGTAAAAAAGTATAGCCATTATGGAAACAGTATGGAGGCTTCTCAAAAAAGTAAAAATAGGACTCCATGATAGTGCCATTGCACTTGAGCCTGGGTAACAGAGCAAGACCCTGTCTCAAAAAAAAAAAAAAAAAAAAAAAAAATCCATACTTCCCAATGCAACCTACAGATTCAAGACAGTTCCTGACAAAATCTTAATGGCGTTTTTGTAGAAATGGAAAAAGAAATTCCTAAAATTCATATGGAATCAAGGAACCCCTGAACAGCCAAGACAATCTTGAAAAAACAAAAACGAAGTTTCAAGACATATTATAAAGCAATATTAATCAAGATACTGTGGTAACACTCCAACACTCCATCTTTCTGGATGATAAATATAAATAAATAAACATATGATCAAACAATCCCAATTCTGAACATATACATCCAAAAGACTTCAAAGCAGGTTCTCAAATGCTGCTCACTGCAGTATTACTTAAGACAGCCCAGGGGTGCAAGCTTGTAAAATACCCAAGGATGAGTGGATTAAGAAAATGTGATACACACACACACACACACACACACACATACACACACACACAAATAGAATATAATGCAGCCTTAAAAAAAGAAGAAAATCCTGTCACATGCTACAACATTGTGAACCTTGGGAACATTATGCTAAGTGAAATAAGCCAGTCACAAGAGGACAAATAGTCACAAAAATTATCTTAAGTAGACAAAAATCATAGAAGCAAAAAAGAAAGGTGGTTGTCAAGGGCTGGGTAAGAAAGAAGGGGAATTTGTGTTTAATGAATATAGAGTTTCAATTTTGCAAGATAAAAAAAGCTTTAGAGATAATTTTAGAGACCTGTTGCACACAATATGAATATGCTTAACACTACTGAACTGCATCCTTAAAAATAGTTAAGATGGTTTTAAAAAATTCCTCAGTGATGACTATTAATATTACACATTGTTAGTTTAGTTATTTATATTGTGTGCATTTTAAATAAAAGTTGTCTTTTAAACTGAAAAATAAAGAAAAACAAAAAGAATATTTTTAAAAATGAGACACTAAGATAATTTCAACATCAGAATTTGGGGACAGGAGGAAGTTAGTGTCAGGGATATGAACTGGACTCAGCATGAGTCAGAGTAGTGTTTGTTTCTCCCCATAAAGAATTCTACTGAATTCAAGGATTCACTGCACATACTTCGTCTTGCAGCATATGTGATATAGAGTAAAAGAATGCCTTGGAACCAAGCACCATAGAGCATCGTCCTATAGCAAAGAGAGCAGGGTTCAAAAGATAGTACCACCGCTTACTAGCTAGGAACCTGGGATAAGTTACTCTACTTTCCAAGGCTCACTTTTCATTTGTATGATGGTGATAATTCCTATTACAGATTTTTTACACGAGGGGGGACCCAAAACAACCAGAATTTTTCTTATAAAAAATTATGTATTTATTCTTACATACATAAACTTCAGTCACCTTCAAAGTACTCTCTGTTTGATGTAATATACCTACTGAGATGCTTTTTTCTAAGGCTCAAAACAGTTTTTGAAGTCATCAGTTTTGATGCTTTTTGGTGCTTCTGCCATTTTTTGTTTCGCCTCTTCCACATCAGCAAAACACTTCCCTTGGAGAATTTTTTTTTCATCCATGGAACAAAAAAAGTTGCTCAGGGTGAGATTGGGTGAGTAGGGTGGGACATAAGGGTCATGCCATTTTTGGTCAAAAGCTGCTGAACACTCAGCGTGGTGCGGGCAAATTCTCTTGTAAATCATCCATCATGAAATGGGCAAATGCATTAAAAGAATCTAAAAAAATAAATGAATTCACGGAAGCTGAACACAGCTTCTCACAACAACACTAGCTGATACACTGATGCTGAAGGGTTTCTAGAACACTTATCTAGCAGGGAAAGCCTGTATTACAAGGGATCCGCCCTTCAGAAAAAAAATTCCTTTTTGGGGGAGTCTCATATAGTAGCTTTAGAATCTTGTGGAAAGAATTTCCTCAAACAGCGCAACTTTAAAATAATAAATGACATCAGTAACCTACCGCTGATTCACAAAGGGACTGGAAAGCTCTGCAAGCAGGCGGAAATTCCCAACGTATGCCAACACTCCATCTTTCTGGATGATAAACATAAATACAATGTCAAGGATAACATTCTTACCAAAATTTCTAAATACTGAAAAAAATCAATAATAGTTTCTCAGCATAGTATAATAATTAATATCAAAACATACCAAGAAGTTTTCTACCTTTAACTGCTATACTAATTTTCTTCATTGAGAATTTAGAAATGTCTTTAGAATTCTATAGTATTTTTACAGTGTTCACTTATGAAAATTGTTTTATTGTTAAGTGAATTCTATAAATAACCATAAAAGATTGAATTCTCAGATTTCTGTAGAAAGAATAATCACAAGGTAGTGTAAATTTCAGGAGTTGAGGAATTTTGTAACAGTTCAATGCCTAAGAGGAACTTGTTTTTATGTCCATTATTAAGTTAAAGCACCTTAAAAATATCAAAGTGCACTTTTCCTAAATAATATATAATTCTGTGAACAGACACATATCTGCCCAATATAACAATACACATTTAACCTGAAAAATATATTGTTAATTAGAAGATCCTAGAGCTAAAGACACCCACCTGTGGCATCTAAACTTAAACATAATACCTAATACATTCAGCCAATTTAATAGTATATGAAGTATATGCATTAATAAACATTAGAAAGAAAATCAAAAGTATATGTTCTAACAATTTTATCTAACATACTTTAGAAACTTCTACTAAGTAAATGAAGTCACTTCAGCACTTCCAATTAAACTGTAATTATGATTACATGCCAAAGTAAATAGTCTTCCTCACCCCCCAATACATTAGATATACATGAAACTTTGAAAACTATTTTTCTACTGGTTATACCATGTTGTATCCAAACAGGAACAATATAAAGCATTTAAAAAATAATTTATGAATTTTTTATGTGAATATTTTTAGTATTTATCCATAAGCATTATTTTAGGGATTTAAAGTTCTGAGCTGAATTATAAGAATAGTCTTTACCAAAGGTAATCTAAAATTTTTATAATCTCAAATTCATTGTCCTTAGTGATACCAGAAAATGTGATGAAGAAGGAAGGAGAGATAACCAAGAGGCTAAAAACGGCAAACAGGATGAGAAGTATGAGCACCAGGGGGCGACCAACTTTTTAGAGTCAACCAGGACACAGTCATATCAATCCAAAAACACAACAATGTATGAAAAAGAATTGTGCAGTTTTATTCATTTAATACAGAAATATGAAGATAGGTATTTATCTGAAATCATGTATTATTCTATACTATTGATTTTTCTGTTACAGTAAATGTTTTTATTTAAACAAGATAAGTGCAGATTGATTTAGATACACTAAATTGACTTAGATGTGCCTGTCTCATCCCAGACTTCTGAGATACAGTTTCCTTAAGTGTTTGTACATCACCCCCAACAAGCTTGCATTGATTTGCTAGTGCTGCCATAACAAAGTACCAAAAGCTAGGTGGCTTAAACAACAGAAATGAGCTCAGAAAGGTGGCTCAGCCTGTAATCCCGCGCCTTTGGGAGGCTGAGGTGAGTGGATTGCCTGAGTCCGAGGGTTCGAGACCCGCCTGGGCAGCGAGACCTCATCTCTACAATAAATCAAAAATCAGCCGGGCATGGTAGCACGCACCTGTAATTCCGGCTACTCGGAAGGCTGAGGCGGAAGGATCGCCAGAACCCAGTGTGTGGAGGCTGCGGTGGCCGGGAGCGGCCACTGCACTGCAGTCTGGGCAATGGAGTGAAACTCCAACTCAAAAAAAAAAAAAAAAAAACCCACAGAAATGGATTGTCTCACAGTGCTAGAAGCTTGAAGTCCAAGATCAAGGTGTCAGCAGGGTGGTTTGCTCTCTCTGAAGGCAGCAGGAAAGTTTCAACGTTCCTGCTAGCCTCTTGCAGTTCCTTGGTTTGTGGCAGCCTAACTCCAATCTTCACAGTAGCACACTCTCCCTGTATACACATCTGTGTCCCAATTTCCCCTTTTTATAAGGACACTAGACATAGAGGACTAGGGGCTCATCCTACTCAAGATGAACTCTTCTTAACTAATTTCATCTTCAATAACTTCATATCCAAATAAGGTCATACTCTAAGGTTTTGCGAGTTAGGACTTCAAAACAATGAATTTTGGAGGAGACATAATTCAACCCGTAACAATGCCCAATCCCAAATTCTTTTCTGCACATGGTGCAGTATGTTCTGTTTTGGTTATCTATCGTCCTAATTCAATTTAATATGTCTTTCTATCCATTTGAACATGCTTTATATGCTAATATATAAAATAATATGTATTATATAGATGTCCATATACAATAACGATAAGTGATTTCTGTGGCATTCCAGTGTTGGTATCACAACTGTTCTCATTTTCATTCTCTGAACTTTTGAAAAATACAGTCGCAGTACAAACAGTGCTGTAGATTAAACTAGCTCAGTACAAACCACAACAGTTAATCCAACGGACAAAATTAAAGATGAACTGCTACCGTTCACAATTACAACACACTTGAGTTGCATCAAAATAATGCTACACTCTGATTAAAATTCACTTTAATACATAACAGAAATCATGTGTTCAGACAGAAAACAGAGGGATGGGAAAAGAGCAAATGTCTGACCTCTCTAATTTATCCAGCATAAAGAAGAGAATAGGAAATAGAAAACAAAAAATAGTAAAAAAAGAAAATGGGAAAAAAATTCCCTTTCACATATCAAACTCCTACATAATTTGTGTGCTTTTTTAGTTAAAAAAAAAATTCTGGTGACTTGCTCAAAGTTTAGGTGAGTTTTCCCAAAAAGAAATCGGTTGGACTATTTGAGTTAAGAAGAGGTAGGTGAGTTTTCCCAAAAAGAAATCGGCTGGAATATTTGAGTTAAGAAGAGGTTAGAAGAACAAGTAATTATATTCAGTTGTGGATACTTCAAGTAGAATAAGAAAAATGGAATGCTCTGCTTTTCTCTCCCTCCACAGTTAAATTCTGCAGTGAATGAGGGCAAAGGAGAAGAAGTGAAAATAGTACACAACCAGAACATGACTTTGCAGGGGACAACAAATGCAAGAAGAAAGATATTTTAGTGAGATTCTAACTTACACTAAACAAAGAAATATTAGAAATATTTTTATTAGTATAGTCCCTCACTAAAATAGATCCATATATATAATAATCATGAACTCTTATTTCTTAAAAATAAATTATCTCATTCATAACATTGCCTTTCCCCTCTAAGCTAAAAGCAGCTTTTCTTCTGATCTATTTTTCCTAAAAAGTTTTGTCTTTGTTTGTTTTACATTCATGGTGTTCTACATAACTATGACCAATGTTTAGAGACTATGACAGACCCAACTTCTGCAAAATATTGTGAGTCAATGTGTTCCTAAAGTCAGCCAAAATCTTTGTGAAATTACTTACTTTATCCATCAAATAAATAGTTTTTCAAAGATGAGCTCTAATACTGAAGTGTGTTTTATTTTTATATGATTTCTAAAATATTTTAAAGCAGATACCCCAAATTCATGTAAAATATTGAGATAATATTGGAGCAACAGGCTCCATCTTCATTAAACTTTAAAATCAATTCTAAAATTTTCTCTCTAGTTAATATTAACTTAAAAGTACAAAAAACATATTAATGAAATATACTATGTTTAAGACATTTGTTGAGAGTTAAAAAAATTACTTCTTCTATCTCCTTTCATATTGGTATAGAATTAAAAGTAACTATTAACCAAAGTACCAAATTAAATACAGAAAAATTTGTCTTCATGATACTCATTAAATATTAAAAGAGTTACTGTAAAAATAGCAACTTGGATACATTGTTTTCATCTAAACAACTCTGGCTGAAGTGCCAAAAAGGAAACTGCAGCTTGATTTTGAAAAAAAAATTGGGCCCAACATCTCGGCCCTTCTCCTAATCTCTCTCCTCTTCCCAAAGGGAATGATTAGTTCTCTTATTTCTAGCCCAGTGGATCTCTAAGTGTGGTTCCCAGACCAGCAGCATCAGCATCTCCTAGGAACTTGCTAGATATGCATATTCTTGGAACCTATCCTAGATACACCGAATGGGACACTCTGGGGGGTGGGACCAGAAACTGTGTTTTGCAGGCCTTCCAGATGATTCCAAGGTATATTAAACTGAGAGAACTTCTGTCCGAGCCTAGAGCTGGTCTGGGATCTCTAAGCCTAAAGGAGCTAGCTCCCTACTTCTCTGAAACTGTGGTTAGTGAGGGTTTACCAACACCCACAACATTATTAATCCCACAACATTACTAATCCCACAACATTATTAAGATGGACCTGCCATGTTCCCCTGGAAAAACTTTTCCTGACCTGTGAACTACCAGCTGGGAGAACTCCCAGTCAAGTGTCCACACAGAGCTGTCCCCTTGTTATCTGTTAGAGTACCTAGGCCCTTATAAATATCTGCATTTCCTGCACCCCATTCATGATTATAGCCATAAAGCCTTGCCCAGTCCTTGGCCCGTGTTTCCTGAGTTGAACCTTGCCTGCTCACCAGTGTTAAATAAGAACATCAATCCAATGTCAAAGTCCCAAAAGAGTCCTTCAGGACTATATTTGAGTGGGTAAGAGCACCATCACAATATTAGTATTTCATTCTAAAAGAAAAGAAGAAAAATATGCAGATTTTAATTTTGTAAAAATATCAGTGGAACAGAATTAGAGGTTATCAAACTTGTTATGAGAAAAAAAAGTCTGAAGTTTAATCTCCAAACTTTAGTACATTTAGATTAGTGAAGCAAAGCAGGTAAAGTGGGTACATAAGTAAAAAGAGATAGGTGAATTTGCGACTTATGCAACAGAAGAAAGACCTCTAGAAACAGGTGATTAGCAAGCTAAGGGGCAACTGTATGTAGTCTAAAAGATAAACCTGAGTGATAGCTCTGCCCTTACTAGCTATGTGACTTCTTCGTGCCTATTACTGACCTTCTCTTACCCTATTCCAAGAAATCTATAAAGTAGGGTTAGTACTTTTTAACAGGGCTGTTGTTAGGACTGTGTGGGTGCCACTCCTGCCAT